CGTCCGTGTTCTTCGTCAACAGCGGCACGATGAGCTTCTCGATGCTGGCGGTGAAAATGTGTGCAAGATCCGCAGGGGCGCCCTCGCACTGCCACAGCTTGGGCGACTTCCAGTCGAAGCCGTCGTCGTCGCCGCCGCCACCGACGTTCAAAGGGAAGACGCTCCTCAAGAAGCGCTGGAGCCCATCCCTGTCCCTGAACTCAATATTCGCAATAGCCCGACACACGTAACGGTCGAAGAGCTTGAGCTTCAGATTAGTCGGCAGCTCGCCATGCGTGGCCTTCAAGATTTCTTCCATGCGGTGCGCCAGAAACTCGTCATCCGCCTTGGCCACGTCGCAACCGTTGATCTCGATAGCGTAGCCCACGAGAGTGATCTGCTCGGCAAGCAAGCTCTTCTTGGTGTCGGTGGCTGGCGAATTGTCGTGGTGCGTTTGCGCGAAGGTCTTCTGGCGGTGCATCGCCGACCCGCTAAGCGTCTTGAACAGGTCGAGTTTCTGGATCCACTCCGTCGTGCTGAACTTGCGCCGCTTGCCATCTGGGGTATTGTCGTCATCATCGAACTCCCCGCCATACTGCGTCGAGCCGCCCCTCCTGATACCCCCAACCTCCGACTGAGCTGCGACGCTGGGTGCCGACCTCCTCCGCGCTCCTGGTGTCTTCGCGACGGTGGCGGGCTGGTTTAGCAGGGGCCCCGTCGCCACTCCCATGACGACGTCACCGCTCAGCAGCTCAACGTCTTCTCCTCGCCCCCCGCTCCCAGAAGCACAGTCGCCGCCAACGCCTCCGCCACCAGACGACGCGGCTGGGCAGCCTGACGATGATGCACCCGTTGGCCCGTCTGGGCGATGGCCATGTTTAGCGTAGATCGCCTGCCTGATCTCGCTGGGGTCGGCAGTTTGCGTCCGCAACTTCTGCATCGTCGACCCGACGGCGTTCACGTCAGACCTGAAGACGCTGTCGAACACCTTGTCGTCCTGCCCACACCAGATGTGATCGATCTTCGACATTACCTCCACTGCCTTCTCCAAGGAGTACTCGTGAAACACATCATACCTGACGCCAGGCCGCTCGGGGTCGTTCACCAGCACCCCCTTGAACGAGGCGCCGAACTCATTCGGGAGGTCCTGCAACTTCAGGCCCGCGTCCTCGATGGTGCCGTGGAATAAAGACTCGAACTCGCCTGGCCTCAAGCCCATCTTGCACCGATACGCGCGGAAGCCCTGCACAGTGGACTTCACGATGTCTGCGAGGCGATACAATGCCTTCGAGAGCCCCTTCCTGATGGAGTCGGCCTTCTGAAAGCCTTCCTTGTACTGGGCGTCTGCGCGGCACTTCTCCATGACCTCTGCGAAGCTGCCGTCAGCCTGGTAGCCAGCGAACCACGTCTTGTAGCACTCGGCGTCGCCAGTGCCGACTGGCACCTCCTCGCCGTTCCCCTTCTTGATGTACTCAGCCCAGGGGGCCGTATTGCACACGCCACACCCGAAGCAATTGGCAGGCGCCTTCTTTTTCTTCGGCGGCGGTCTCATCTGAGTCTGAGCGGCCTTCGGAGGCGGTGGGACAGCTCCATTGGCACCACGGGCAATGCTCTCGCCGCCCTCGCTCGCCTCGTCGCTCCCTGCGTTGCTCGCAGGCGGCGGTCCAGGCCCCTTCACCTTGGGAACAGCTGACTGCTTGGACCTGGCCATCGGCCCTGCTCCGACGGGCTCGTGGGGACCGACACTTCGACGTGCGCACTCTGCGCGCGTACTCGCCGCAACCTCTGGACCGCTCGAGCAAACACGGCCACGGGGTGGGGCGAACCCGTGGGCATGCTAGGCCAAGGAGGTGGAGGAGCAGCAGCAGCCAGAGGATAACTGCACATCGGATGGCAGGAACATGAAAATAGAGATGATGGCGAGGATACTGAAGAGGTGCCTGGAGGAAAATGCGGGGGGGGGATGGGAGGGATACCAAGGGGGAGGAAGAGGAGGAGGAGGACACTTCGGGTGGGTAACGCCGTGGGGGGCTGAAGAAACTAGCGAGGCCCAGTCAGAGTGCCAAACTGCCACCGAAACGCTTCTCATCAAACTAAGTAAGCATGCTTCTATCGGGGCACCTCTGGATGGGTTCACACTTGGAAACTTATTGTGGGAGATGCGACTGAGCTCCTCTCCATCACCCGCACCTCCCACATCACCCTCGCCATCCTCATCATCCACCCCGTCCTTCTCATCTCCTCCTCGTCCCGCCCCCCCCCCTCCCCTCGCCGCATCACCATTATCCTCGCCATCATTCTTACCACCTCCAGTCGGGTCGGGACGTGTTCCACCAGGTGCTCGCCCGCCCGATCGCGCCCCGAAGAGGCACGCAAACGCCGCATCGATGCCAACAAGCGTCGTCTCAACATCGAGGCCAACAAGCGACTCCCACGAACGAGCCACGCACTCTGGAACACCGCAAACAGATCGTGCGCAATTGCCGACCCTACGGTACTTGTCACCCTATACTGGTGGGTATTTGCCCCGTCCCAGGGCCTGTTGCACTATCCTGAGTACCCTCCGACTGACACCTCCGACGGACGGCGGTGGGGGGATGGCATGCGCGCAAGCCTCGGCGCGAGAAATCGGTATCTGTTTCGCTGGCCCCCGCCCCCCAATCTCCTCATCACCAGCGGAGTGGCCCTCCAAGGGCGTCCGGATGAGAATAGCCAAGACGAGATGGTGTTCCAAGGCGGAACCCGCTCTGTGCGAGGATCACTCTGCCAGCGCGCAACTGCGAGGCGCGCCGAACATCACTCAAACTAACAACGCTACTGAACTATCCACTGCGATGCGCACCCGATGCAACTGGCCAGATGTCAACACTAGTATCCGATGCATCCCAATGCGATCGAGTAACGCCGATGCGCCGCCTAGCAAACGATGATGCTATGCAAAACGGCATCCAAATGATGTCCAAACTTCGCATCTATCACAGCAAGACGAGGCGCTGAAACGCAACCCGACGCAACAACAACGGAGAACGCTGCGCCATGGTGTGGTGAAAAAAATCCTTGCTCAATCACTCGAGTCGCTATGCACCTCCCAGCCGTCCTGGATCTGGAAGGTCACTTGGAAGCACGTGTCACGCGGGCCACCGCTGGTGAGGGCCCTGCCGTCCCCAAAGTGAGGAATCATCTGCTGGAAGACCATGCGCATCCACCCTGGCATCGACTCGAGGCTGCTGTACTTGTGCACTTGTGTCAAGACCTTCCTGCGCTTGGAAAGGTGGGTGATCTCAAAGTGGTCAGGCCCACCCACCTCGCCACCCTCTGCTCCAACATCTGCAGACCCAGCCGCTGAGAGAGGAGGCCCCGCTGCCACTGGGGTACCCCCTGCTGGCGGCTCCTCTGGGAGCGGCAAAACTGGGACCAGGCGCGCGGGGTCAGAGTCGAGCGGGACATCGTCGGGGAAGCTGGTGGGCACTGTTGGAACCTCAACCACGGGAAGCAATGTCCCGCCCATGCTGGCGGCGGGGCCCAACGAGTCCTGGTCCTGGCCCAACTCGGGGCCCGCGTGCCTCCGCTCCGAGACGGAGCGCCGACGCTCTGGACCAAAACCGCTGTTGCCAGTCTCAGGTGGGGCTTCTCCGTCCTGTGACGAATCGGCAATGAACTGGGCCTCCTCGT